CAGTCACTCCCCATTTCCTCCCAACACCATCACCCCAGGCCCCAACAACCCACTACTCTACTTTTTGTTGCTATGGGCTTTCCTGTTCTGGATACTTCTTACAAATGGAATCATATGACAGGTAGTCCATTGTGACTGTCTTCTTTCACTTACCACAACATTGTCAAGGTTCATCCTTGCTATAACATGTATCAATACTTTATTCCTTTTTATGGCTGAATAGTATTCCACTGTGTGGACATACCACATTTCATTTATTCTTTCATCAACTGATGAACACTGAGGACAGTTCCCATTTGGGCTATTATGAATAATGCTACTATGAACATTGATGAACAAGTTTTTTGTGTGAACATATATCCATTCTTTTTTGATAAATACCTAGAGTGGAATTGCTGGGTCATATGGTTAACTCTATGTTTAAACCTTTTTTTTTTTTTTTTTGGAGAGGTTTTTCGCTATAGGGCACGTGTGCTCGCCAGACAGACAGAGACAGAGAGACAGAAAGCGAGAAATCATCCCCCAGGGGGGATGGTCACGCCGCAATCTCTTCTCCTCCATTCTCCTCTCAGGATCTTGGGCACACACGCACATGCGCCCAGCGTGAGTTTTAAGCCACCAGGTCCAGGACGTGAACCGCGGTCGACTACGTGGGAGTCCAACGACATAGCCATTACGCTAACTGCTGGCTCCCTCTATGTTTAAACCTTTTGAGATGCTGCCAGACAACTGCACCAGTGTACATTCCCAGCAGCAGTGTATGAGGGTTCTAATTCCTCCAAGTCTTCGCCCACAATTGCTATTTTTCGTGTTTTTGATTATAACTAACCTAGTGGGTGGGAATGATATCATTTTGTGGTTTTGATTTGCATTTCCCTAATGACAAATAATGTTGGATATCTTTTCACACAGTTACTGGCTTTTTTTTTCCTTTTCTTTTTTTCCTAAAGACAGGGTCTCATCACTATGACACCATCCTCCTGCCTCACCCTTCCTGAGATGCTGGGATTATAGGCACATGCCACTGCACTCAACATTTAGGTTGCACTAGGAATTGAACCTGGGCCTCTCATGTAGTCACAGCCTGTAGCATGCATTATCTTAACAGTGCACATCACCACGGTTGGACTTTCTTGGCCACTTTTATATCTTCTTTGTCTATTCTAAAAGTTCGTTTAGATTATTTGCCCATTTATTTTTTAAAGTTCATTTTATTTATTTCTTCTGTGAGCAAAAGAGGGAGAGAGAGGGAGGGAGGGAGGGAGACACGGTGACCCACCCCCATTTCCACCTCCTGCCTCAACCAACTCAGGATCATGGGCATGCGCACTCAGAGAGGTCTCCAGACAGGAACCTGGAACCTTGCCATGTGGTAAGCCTTGCAAAGCGTCACGTTTTACGGCTGCACCACCATCCAGCCCCCCTTTACCCATTTTTTAATTGGGTTATTTGTCTTTTTATTATTGGGTTGAAAGAGACCATAGTAGATATTGAGTAGAGTGCTGATTGGAGCTCTGTCTGCCCAGAGCCAAAGTCTTATTTGCAAAGTCCCTGAAGTTTGGCCCTTGGGCACTACACTCTCTGTCCTGCTTGCCTCATCTCCACACAGCCCTGCCCAGCAGGTCCACCGCACTCGGGCTCAAGAAACGCCAGCTCTTCCTGCCCATCCTCCTAACCCAAGTAACTCAGAACAACCCCCTGACATAGATGAGGAAAAGTGGTGAAAGAACTTGCTCCAGTTCTCCTGCACCAGGAGAATGGAGCCAGGATAAAATTCAGATCTGCCCAACTAATACCCACACCTTCCCATGCCATTCCTCTCCATGTTTGCATACCCTGCCCTGGTCGTTTTCTGATTTACAATATCCTGTTATCTCCACCCTCATCGCCATGTAAGGTGAGTCATGTGGACATCATTTTTCTCAATTTACAGAGGAGGAAACTGAGGTCAAGAAAGGTGATGTCACTTTCCCCAGCCTTACAGCCACCCAGTGTCACAGCTCATGGCACCCAACCCAAACACAACCAGCAGGGCCCACTCTCTGACCTCAGCCCCCTATCCGGGGTTTCACCTTTCTTCTGGCCCAAAGCCATCCCCACTAACCAGGAAACTATAGCAGCCATCAGTCACTGAAGGGGACCTGAGCTACACAAACTTCCTCCGGGGCAGCCCCCACCCAGAACCAGCTGGGCCCTCTGGCCAGGCACTCCCAGCCCTGCCCAGCAGCCTCAGCCTAAGACCTTTGCCCCTGCAAGAAGCAGGACCCTGGTTTCCATGAGCCTTTGACACTTTACCTCACTCGGCTACCACCCCAGGGCTGGGGCACTCACAGAGAAGCATGTAGGCTGCACACCTGAGACTTCAGAGATGTGGGGCAACCCAGGAAAATCTCTGGACCCCACTCACTGAGGGAAGAGCCTTTGGTTCCTATTAGATTAGTAAGCTCCTGCCTCAGGCAACACAGAAAAATCCCCTTATCAGCCATTTACACCAATAGGAGGGCCTGGGTAGGCCCAGCAGGAACACTAGAAAGGGATTCTTTCCTTCATTCAAGTGGCTAAATGAACTCTCTCTTTTGCTACATTTTTCAAAACTTGATTTATATATTTCTCCCATAAGAGAGAGACACACAGGCACCCAAGAGGGTCTTTACATCACAATCCACTCCGAGCCTTAACCAACATGGATCACAGGCACACATACAACCGGCATATACAGGGAGACGTCAGGACACAAACCCAAGACCTTCCCAATGGGTTCAGTATCATAGAGTGTCGAATTACTGCTGCATCATTGTCCAGCCCCTAAGTCAATCAACTCTCAGGGTACTTCAAACAGTTCACAGAAAAACAGGTTTAAAATATGAGGTTAGCGGTAGCAGGTGACATAGAGGTCAAGGTGGCTGGATCCCACATAGCCGACTGTGCAGTTCAAGTCCTGGACCCAGTAGATTGAAAATCACAGCAGGGGCTTATGCATACATGCTGCAAATCCTGAGAGAACGGAGAAGGAGTTGTGATGTGGTCGCCTGCTCTGCCCACTCACTGGGAATTCAGGCTATGAACTACACAGCCTGTGTGCAAGGCCTAATCCAGAGTGTAATTCTGGCTTTCTCACTTCCTCTCTCTTTCTCTGTCTCTCTCAGGTTAGCATAGAAACTTAATAGCAAAACTTCAAAAAAAAAAAAAAAAAGTTTCATTTGGTGCAAAATATCTTGAAATTCAAGTAGTTTTTTCATAATATGCATTTTCCATGAACTTTTTGAAGACCCTCAGACTTTTGAGTACTCAGTAGTGTTCTAGGTATGGGGGATACAGCCGCCAATAAAACCAGCAGACATTCTTGCCCATTTTGGAACAATCTGGGTATTTCATTGGGCTAACAGACTGGAGGAGAGAAATAGAAACAGTTAAAAATAAGAATGCTAAGGTGGAGGTCAAGGAAGCCGGATCCCACATGGCCAACTGCAGTCTGAATCCTGGTCCCAGCAGCTTGAAAAACATGCTGGGCAAATGTGCATACATGCCCCAAATCCTGATGGGGTGGAGAAATGGAAAGGGAATATGCTGTGACCACAGCCCATGGAGGGTGTCCCTCCCTTGTGCCTTCTCCCTCTCCTGAAAGCTCATGTGCCCTCTGGCAAGAAAAAAAAGAGAAGGGGACAGCCCATTGTAGAGTAAGAAGCTGTGATTTTTTTAAAATTATTTTATTTAACTTTATTTTTTCATTTGACCAGAGAGGGACACAGAGAGAGAGAAAGGAAGAAAGGAAGCTGCCAGGTCCAGGACTCGAACCCCGGTCAACCATGTTAGAGTCTAGCACCCTCAACCACCATGCCACCTGCCAGCCCCAGAAACTGTGATTTTAAACAGGGTGGTCAGGGAAGGCGCAAAAACCTGAAGGGAGTTACAAGTAAACCACCTAGAGATCTGCAGATATGTCCCACGCAGAGGGAACTGCAGACCAGTGGGCCTGAGCTGGAGGCATGTGACATCTCAGAACAACAGCCAGGACCCAAGCGCTGCAGTGAGGGGGAAGACAGGGTCTGTAAGGGAGGGCGACTCTCTTGAGAGAGGGGGAGCTGCTCGGCTGAAAGTATCCAGGTTCACTGGCGGTGAGGGAGGCTGGACCGGCCTGGGGAAGAATTCGAGGCCAGCTCTGGGCTCAAGGGTATTTTCTGTGTGCCTTCGCAGGCAGACTCTGGCTTCTGGGCCCAGCAGCTCCAGGGCTGGCCACTTCCCAACCGCCCGGATGACGCCAGCCTGCTGGAAGGAGCGCGCTGCCTCAGGGGCCAGAGGGAACAAGGAGCAGGTGCGCTCCACTCAGGCGCGCAGCCCCGGCCATGCCCACACTGGGCCGTTCAGGTCCCCGCCGTTCAGGGTAGTCTGCAGCGCCCCCATACCCACGCCGCCCACGCCGACCGCGCCGAAAATCGCGGGAGGGAGAGGAATGTGAAGCAGGTTGCGATTTGTAGCTCAAATACCTGAAGCACTCCCTCCCTCAGCCTGCCCGGGAGAATTGTTTCTAAGCAGCAGGGGACAAGGAGAAAGGGCGGGGGAGGGGGGCCGCGCAGACCCCGCCCTTCTTTGGCACCTGCTGTTCCCATCCCCGCGCTCCTCTGGGCCAAGTCCTTCCTCCCAGGGCGCTTCGTGAAGGTGGGAGGGAGGGCCACGTCACTGTCCCCAGACCAGAGAGAGCGCTGCTCCGCCCCTCCCGCCCCCTCCGGAGCGTTGGGCACTTAGTTAAGACTAACCGGCCCCAGCCCAGGGCCAGCCCAGTCACCGCCGCCCGCCCACAAAGCCACCGGCAGGGGCAGGGGCCGGCGCGGGGG